AGGTTCTTCTAGGGGATCACAGCTGGAGCATGAGATGGAAGGAAAGGTATTTTAAAGGTTTGTGCACTCATTAGGGCAAAAGGCCCATTGTGTTTTCAGTTGACCCCAGTACCACCATGCACCCTGGGAAGGAAGAGAGAGGAACAGTTCTTTGTTTGGTCTGAGGGAAGGACAGAGCTTCTGAGCTGCTGCAGAATTCCCTTTGGCAGCCCTGGGGCCCAGACCAGCAGCACAAACACAGGCAGGTCACAGGGGCAGGTGTTCCCATCCATGCAGGGGAGGCAGAGCCAGGGAAGCAGCCTGGGGATGTACCCTGTTCATGTGTGTGCATTTCCCAACTGTTCAAACATCCAGATCCACGCTGGCTTGTTTTTATGTTTCCCTGCATCTCACAGCTACTGACTGATTGAAAAGAAGAGTTTTCTACTTTTTTAATTCATTTTTGTGCCTGCAGCCTAGGGGATCCAAAGGTGGTTAGAGCTCTTGCCTCGGGATATTGAGCTGGGAAGATTTCAGCTGGAGCTGTGATAATATCTCAGCATTGTGCTAAGCTCAGGAAGCAGCAGGAATGGAGGAAAGCAAGCCAGATTTGGAAAGCTTCCCTGTTTTTTAAATAACTATCCTATATGAAAGTGCTGCAGGCTCTGGTGCCACTGGCACGTGTTAAACCCTGGCACTGGGGGAGGGCTGAAGTTTTGAAATTTTGGAGAGGGAGGCCCTGGCCTACCTGGGAATCTGTGTAGGGTGTGAGAGGGGCGTGCCAGGTGCTGGGCAGGGACAGGCTCCAACCCACCCCACAGGTTTGGCAGCCCCAGAGGAGCCCTGCACACGTGTTCCACTCACATGTCAGCAGTGGCAGCCCCAGGTGAGGTGTGTCCGTGCCCCACAGTCGGACACGTCCTGTCCATGCCTGCTGGCACGGCTGAGAGAAAAACTAAGTGAAAAGAGTTTTCTGTTTGTTTTAAAGCCCACGAGGTCCTTGGCCTTTCTTGTCTCTCCAGGACCTGCTCAGTGATCTGAGCCAGGAGTGGTGAAAGCAGAGCTGGTTGCAAGAGTCAACAGTTTCACTGCTCTTTTGCAATGAAAACTGGAGGAGAGTCAGGATTTCAGGAGGCCAGTCTGAGGTAGCGTGGCATATTGCATTCCAAGCTTGGAATACAGGGATAAAGGTCTCAAAATGGATTCTGTAATTAGTGCTGGAGGTAGATCATAGAATCATGAAATCCCAGAATGGTTTAGATAGGAAGGGACTTTAGAGCTCATGCAGTTCCATCCCCTAGAATTGCACCTCCCATGGGCAGGGACATCTTCCACTATCCCAGGGTGCTCCAAGCCCTTCCAGCCTGGCCCTGGACACTTCCAGGGATGGGGCAGCCACAGCTTCTCTGGGCAACCTCTGCCAGGGCCTCCCCACCTTCACAGGGGAGAATTCCTCCCCAACATCTCATCCATCTCTGCCCTCTGGCAGAGGGAAGCCATTCCCCTTTGTCCTGGCACTCCAGGCCCTTGTAAATAGTGTCTCCAACTTCCCTCTCAGCTCCCCTCATGTACTGAGCTGCTCTCATCTAATCTCTCATGGATGAGATGAGCTGCTCTGGTCCGTATTCTCTGGAAAGTTTCCATGATGATTTTGGAAACTGGAGTGTGGGAATTTACCTACACAACTCAAGGGATCAGGTCCTGTGTGTGAACAGGTGTTCAGGGGAGAAAGAAAGAACAAAAGGAAAAAAGAGCAGGGCTGGCTCTTTGTGGGGCTGCCTGGATTTGTCTGCCACAAAGAACACGAGGCCAGAAGCAGAGAGAGGCTCTGCTCTGGGGCTCTTGGGTCACTTGCAGAGCTGATTTGCCATCAGCCGTGCCCTGAACAGCATTGTCCAGGCTCATGGGGGTCAGAAAGCGACACTTCTTACTCCCAATGCAGTTGATAATGGCCTCCTCAGCCTTGTTGATGCCCAGCTGGAACTTCTGCAGGTCGGGGCGGAGCCTTCGGCCTCGGTGGTAAAACACCAGCGCGAACTCAAAGTCCCCCATGGTGTACAGCGTCTCTGCTTTCTGGTAAAGCCCCTAAAACCACATTTGGGGAAAGAAATTGATAAAATGAGGGGAAATTTTGCTGGATCTCAAGTAACTCCTGTCAGGCACGCGTATAACAACTTGCCTCTGTTAAAGGCCAGACCTGGAGGTGCCCGAGCACCTCAACAGCTCTGAGAGCAGCAGAAATCTCAGGAGTGACTGGAGTTTCCTCACAGCTCTGCCCCAGACCCTGCAGGGTCTCACAGATCCAGGCCAGCTCTCGGCCATCCCCCTCCTCCCCCTTCAGCTGGTTACCTCAGAGAACGTATTGTCAATTTGGAGCGAGGCTTCAGCATCTTTCAAGGAGTTTTCGGTGTCTCCAAGTTTCAGAAAGCACTTGGAGCGGGTGATAAGGCAGTGCTTGTCTCCTGCTCTCAGCTTCAGTGCCTGGAACCACAGACACAGACACGTCACCAGTGCTGGACATGTCACCACACACGGAAATGTCACCTGTGCTGCCTCAACGCCACAAACACACAAGCGTAGGTATTCGATGCCACGGTTCCCACGTGGATCTTGATGATGGATGAGGATAAAACCACAAGGATTTTACTGAAGAGTTTTCTCTCGTTTTTGCGCTGCAGGCGCTGCCCTGTCCCTGCACTGCCCCGTGCAGGGTCACCCCCCGTGCCGAGCCCTCCCGGGGACACGTCCCTCGGTGTCCCCGCCTCTTGCGGGTCCCCCCGCCTGAACCGAACCGCATCCCCGCCGCTGCCCCCGGTGCCCGCGGCGCCCTCACGTCATTGAAGCAGCCCAGAGCTTTGTCGTGCTGGCCGCGCCGGGCCAGGGTCGTGCCCTCGGTCATGAGGCTCCCGAAGGAGACCACGGGCAGCTCCTCGCCCGCCATGGCTGCGCGGCGCCGCCGTTGCCGAGCAACGCGTACCGGGCACCGCCCGCTCCCGGTGCTCGCCCCGCCCCGGGAGTGACGAACCGGCCGGTGCCCGCGTGGGCTGCCGGCGGCCCCGGCGGCCCCGGCCCCGCTCCCGGCGCTCACTGTGCCTCTGACCCGACCCGTCTCCGTGCCCGTGGGGTTCTGCTCTTCCACCGGCACGACCGGGAGGGGCGGGAGCGCGGCCGCTCCGCACAGCCGCGGTGCCACCGGGCAGAGCCGGTTCCTCGGCCCCAGCCGTTCGCAGGGCAACCGGAGGGCAGCCACCGCCTCCCTCCCGTCGTTTATTCGGTGCTGGTTTGGTGCTCGCCGCTGGCCCCGGTTTCACCGCTGCGGGCGGTAATCCCGGCCGGATAAAAGCCGAACGGCAAATTCTGCCGCTTCGCTCCCATCAGCGCTCCGGTCCCCACTTCATTTTGGCGCTGGCTCAGACTCTGCGCCAAGATTTGTGCTCGAAACACTTTGTTCCTGCCAAGCGGCTCAGAGGAAGGGCGGGGGGAGGGCACCGGTCCCGCTCGGAACCGGCGGCATTGAACGGCACCGCCCGGCTCGGCCCGGCTCCCGCCGCGCTCGGCACCGCCCGAGCCCGGCCCTGGCCCGGCGCCGCTGGCCGGCCGCCACCGGGCCGGGAGGCGGGCCGGGGGTCACGCCAGGGTGGGGAGACACGCACTGCCGAGCTCCGGAGTGGCGGCCGGGCTGCCACACCCCGGCCCCGGGGAGCCGGGCGCGGAATTGCGGCGGGATCGAGCGCCCGGTAACGTTTGCCGGGGGATTTTCCCCCGCTGGCACCGCCGTCCCCGAGCTGTGTTGGTGAGGGCTGCGGCAGGGCTGTGCCCAGCTCGGTGGGTGACATCGGCGTGGGGACACCACAGCCACCACGTCGGGACTGAAAAATGCATATTAGATGATTCGCAAATCTCAAAATTAATACTATATGTGCTATGTTGGAAAGTCATGCTGTATTAATCTCCTTTAAATATGGTTTTAAGCTATAGCATAATATTAAAATAGAAACTAGGCGATGTAAGATAATTTTTGCAAGTAGCTCAAGGAATGGATAAGATAATGAAGAAATTAAGAGATAACAGCAACAAGACACTAAGGTCTCCAGAAAAGAATTATTGCCTCCTTATCAAGAAGACTCAGACTTCAAAGGACCAACACAATTGGTTTACAATATGAAGGAGGGAGTCGAAACTAAGCAGAAGAAATCCTTTGAAAAGAATTTTGAATAATGTATGAGATATATGAATATGCAACAGGCTATTACTTTTAAGGGTCAATTATTTGTTAGCAAGGCATGTTTCTGTGGCAGAGTTTCTTTGCTTTTTATTGTCCTTTATTGTCCTAACTCTAACTGTCCAAATTATTACTGCTCTAAATTTTATTACTCTTTGTATAACTATTTTGTTACTTTTAAACTTTTAAAATTTTAGAACAAGTGATTGGGCGTTTTCCACAGGGACAAGGCCGCCTGTTGGCCGCGCCGGGTGCTCCCGCTGATGACCGCGTTAGTCACGGGCTGGGAGCCCCGGGGAAAAGCGAGCGTGGGCGGCCGCTCCCGGGAACCGGAGAGCCGTGGCGGCTGCCCCGAGAGCCTGTCAGGAAACGGAGCAGCGCAGGGGCAGGACGCTCCCGGTGCTGCGGGACGGTGCGTGAGCATCACGGCGGTCTCGCCTCGCTGCGGTACCGGCGACCCGGCTGTGGCAATGCCGCCACTCCCGCGTGGGTACCACGAGGCACCGCCCGTGGGAGGTTTCCCGGCATGTCCCGGCGCTGGGGAAGGAGCCCCGTTCCCGCCGCCGGTACCGGTGGGCGCGTTGACGTCATCGTGTTCTGTGACGTCACCGGCGGCGGGTCCGGCGTGGGGGGTCACGGCCGCGGGTCCGCCGGGGGCGGGGCGAGGGTGCCGGAACTACGACTCCCACAAGGCTACGCGGGCGCACCCCACCGGCGGCGGCCAATGGGAGCGCGGCGGGCGCTCAGGCAACGCGCACGTGGTAGCGGCGGCGGCCAATGGGCGGCGGCGGCGGCCGTAGCCCGATGGGCCGGGGAGGCCGCGCTCCGCGAACAAAAGGCGGCGGCGGCGGCGCGAGCGGGGCCGGAGCGGCAGCGGAGCGCGGCGGGAGCGGCCGAGCGGGGCTGTGAGGTGAGTGCTGCGGCGGCGGCAGCGCCGCGCTCCGCCCGGCACGTGGCGGGGCCTCTGCCGGCGCTGCCGCGGCGCCCACGCGTCTGAGGCGGGAGCCGCGCCGGCTCGGGCCGGCCCCGGCTCCCGTAGCTCGCGGCGGGGCGGGCGAGCCCCGGGAGCGGCCGCAGCGCCGCTGACGGAGCGGGTGTGCCCGCGGCAGCGGCCGGCCCGGTGCTGCCCGGAGGGAGCCCCTCTCTCCCGCCGCCGCCCCTGACCTTGCGGGCGCCGCCGCCGCTCCTCCCGCGGCTCCCGGCGGCGGAGCTGCTGCCCCGCTCGGTCCCGGTGGCCGGGGACGGTGCGCGGTGGTGACAGCGCAGAGATTACCACGGGGCTGGGGAAGGGGCCGGCTTGACGCGTTTTTCGCCCTGGTCCAAGCGGGCCTCGGACTTGCCTCCCTTGCCACGCGGAAAATCCCTTCGTGGCCGTCCCGGAGGAGCAGCCCCGCGCGGGGGCCGCGCCGTTCCCGTGCGAGCAGCGGTGTGCGCAGCCCGCGTGTCGCTGCCTTCCCAGCACAGTCGGCTGTGTTCCAGCTGTCCTGTTTGCTGCTTGTAAACACCTCCTGTTTGCCCTGCTGCTTTCGAAATTCTCATCCTGCTCTACAGACTCTCCTTTCTCTCTGTTGAGCAGTTTGTTGTCTGCAGGCTGAAAGCTGAGCTGCACCCTGGCTCTCCTGTCTGTAGGTGTCTGTACTCTTTCTGATGTCTGTACTCTTTCTGCTTCCTGCCTGGGTTTGGAGCTCAGAGTATCAGCTCTGCTGGTACTGTCCAGTGCTGCTGCCCAAACCCTGTTGGGTTTCCTGCATATGAGACTCTGCAGCTCTCTCCAGGCATCAGGACTCTTCCCACGGTTCCAGCACTGCCTGAAGTGGTTCCCAAGCAAGGGCAGCCACAGTTGGAAGTCCTGCCCAGCCATGGTGGCCAGGGAGCGCTTTACTGCCATACACAGTTCAAGTGATTTAAGGAGTAAGCTTGTTAAGGAGCCCTCAAAGCTGCAGAAGATAATTTTTAATGACAGCATTCCTAAATTCCCTCCTTGTAGCACTGGGTGCCCACCAGGTGTGGGGAGCCTGTGTGCTGCTCTCCGTTAGCCACAGGTCCATGGTCTGTGCTCCTCCCTGGCTGCCGTGTTTCTCTCAGAGATTCTGTGTGTGCAGGGAGCCTCCCCCGGAGCTGGGCATGCAGCACCTGTTTGTATCACCCCACACAGCATTTCCCAACCACAGCTGGGGGACCATGACCTCACGTTGGCTGAACACCGAGCCCTCACCATCCTCTGACGAAACACATGGGTCTGCCAGGTGGAAGCTGATGTAACTTTTCATGCTGCCATGGGCTGAAAATACTGGCTTAGCTTGAACTGTGTTAATAAATTACCCAGAATGGAGGGGAGAGGCTGTTTATGGTGTGGGTTTGTTGACACAGTTCTTGGGAGAGTGGGTGTCAAGTCTTCACTGGAGAGGGAGTCCTTTCCTCCTGGTCTGAAGTGTTGTTCAGGTACAATTGGAGCACAGTGCCAATCCAGATCTCGGAGAATTCCATGTGTGAGCACCACATTATTTGTGAATGCACATTGGTGAAGCTGAATTGCACCTCTTCTGGTTAGAAGGAAAACAAACTAAATCAATGTCTGTAATACTTTTTCTCCCCTTGCAGAGCAGACTGTGTCACACTGAGCAGTGCCACATCACTGATCTCCTGGGAGTCAGGGAGACTTCACCTGAGTTCTGTGTCAGGAGTGCCTCCCTGTTTCTCCCTGTTTCTCCATCCGTGTTTCCTTTGGATTTGTTGCATACACCCTTCAGCTGGTTGCTGGTATATTGGGACAGATGTATCAGTTGTTTCACAGCAAACACAACATCCAGCTCAACTCTTGCCTGCTTGCCACCATCCTGCTGATTTTCTCTGTCAAAACACTCAGTAAACTTTCCCCAAACATCAACTTATTTGCATGTGTTTGATAGGTGATGTTTTGAGGGAATAAGTGCTGCTGAGCTCCTGAAAATATGATCTAATCCATGTCTCTTACTTGCTAGCAAAGGTTGGAATTCAGCTCTTTTTGAATTGGTGGGTATGGATGATGAGAGAAAGGTCTCTGAGGTGTTGCAGGGAAGCTTTTTGGGTTGGAGCCTCACTAAATGAACACAAATAATTTATCAAAATCTGTGGTACTTGTCCTGCTGACATGAATCTAACCTTGTGTGTGGTGGGTGCAAGGTCTGGGGCCCGAAGTGCTGAGAAAATTGCAGATCAGTCTTGGCTAATGAATGCTGAACACAGCAGTGGAAGAGAATGTTGTTATCCCACAGCTTGTGATTTGGGCAGAGAAAGGGACATTTTCCCCGGGTTTATCTTCAGAGGTGCAGCCACTCCTCTCCCCAGCACTGCAGGTGCTAAACATGACTGAAAATAAGATTAATTCTGCCAGATGAGAGTTTGACCCCGTCTCATTCCTGGAAAACTGAGGAGATTGAGTTCCTCTGCCTCTGTAGTGACATGAGTCTGTGCCCCTGCTTGGTGTTAGCAGAACAGATGCAGTGAGTTAATGGACCTGCTCTGATGGCCCTGCAAGAGCACACACACACACAGCCAGGAATTGCTGATGCCCTATGGATTATTTTCCTGCTGATCTCTTAGTTTAACAGTTCAGCAGACTGAAGCAATTGCTTTGTGCTCTCTGTCCCACGAGAAAGGCAGGGTTAGAACAGTGGAAAAACTGAGTGAGGGGTGTGATTAAAGACTTGCTAATGCAGATAAGGTCAGAACAGCAAAATTCCTGCTGTTCTGTTGCCATGACACAAGGATGTTATTTTTCATCTACTGCTATTGTAAGAATTTTGTAGTTTCCTTTCTTTACCCCAGTAGTGTTAGTGCAAAAATGAGGTGATGAAGTTGTGAGGGAAACCAGGAGAGCAGCAGAATGGAGCAACATAGAAAAGACCAGAAATGGTTCTGAGAGGGGAGCAGCTCTGCTTTGTATCCCTCAAGTTTAAGGAATCTCATGCATGTCACTCGTTCCCACTGAGGTTTTTTGCAGGACTATTCTTAATAAGACCTGAGACACTCTGGCTCCAGTGTCCTGCAGTTGCAGGGTATTTGTTGGCATAACCAGCATCTGCCTGAGTGGTTTAATTTCTAATTGTGGATTGAAGTTCTGCAGTGCTGTTCAGAGGATCCGTGACACCCTGGAGAAATGACAAATACTTAGATTTCTTAAAGAAATATGTTTGCCATTTTCGTTTACCCATCTGCTTCTGCTGCAGTGAGATGTGACACTGTTTCCCTGAGCAGATTGTGGAGTTGATGGATTTCGAGGGGCTTGAAGCCGGAATATTGCAGCTCCCTCTCAGGCAGAACAAATGGTGGCTGCAGGTATATATAGTGGGAGCAGGTTTGCTCTCAGAAATAGCTCTGCTTAAAGTCCAAATTCCAGTGGGAAGTTTTAGGCTCTGCAGCACAGATGAGACGTGTGTGTGCAGCTGTGAGGCTGGGCAGTGGTGTGGTGCTTGTGGGAGTGTGTCTGTGTGTGCCTGCAGGGTCAGGCTGGGTGGTTGGTTTGGGGTTTGGTGTCCTCTGGCTGCTCACAAGAGCTCCTCTCTTGTCAGGCCACCTTGGCTTTGCCAACAGGCTAATAACTGACAGGGGCTGTTTCAGCAGACAGCTAGGGGCAAGTGTTTCTAGGGGCAGGGTGGGGGTTGAGTCTGATGAAAGATGGGGTGCTGCAGAAACATTGCCCGGTCCTGTTTTGAAATGGGATTTAATTGGAAGCTGTGCTGCAATCCTGTTCAGGTTTTACATCAGAACTCTTTGAAAGTGGGCTTGCTGTTCTTTGTTTTTTTGCCTTTGCTGTAGCTTTGCCTTTGTGATTTTCAACCCTGGAATTGCATTTGAAAATATGGCAGTGGCACAGTTGTCTGCTGGTCCTTAAGTACAGTTATCAGCTTTCAGTAATAGCATTTAGTCTAACCTGTTTGGTGTTGGAAGTTCAGGGAATGCAACCTCCCTCCTACTATGGAGTAGGAGTTGGGATGGACCCACCTCCTCCTTTCTGCTCTAGGTAGAAAGGTTCTTTATTTCGAATTATGGAAAGTTAATCTCTGCCTATTCTGTGTTTGCTTATAGGATGAATAGCCCAGCTGATTACTAATGGTTATTACCCAGAAGGCAGCACAAGAAATAGCTGGAATTTGTTAACTGTTTCTCTCTGTGGGGTATGTGTTTTGTGAGGGCAGGTAGTCCAGGTGCTCAGATGGAATCTGAACTCCTCTTTTTTGTGTTGGAGCAGCTCTCCCTGAATCTATCCCAAGAGTGCTTTTGCTTCCTGCCACACTGACAGTGCTTGGGAAACAGTGACACGACCCTGGTCACTCAAAATGCAGGAGGAGCTGCTGCTTGAGCCTCCCTGACAACAGTCTGACCCCCCAGACACACCAAACCTGCTGGCTGATCACAGCACTCAGTTCTGATGTGTGACACATGCAGACAGGGTCACTGGGATGAAGTATTCTTTTAAAGAAGTGTTTATGGCAGCTAAAAATAAATGGATCTTTGACACCTATGACTCTTTTGTTGCATATCAAAAAGAATTAGTTACACTCTTGAGGCCAGAAATCATTTGCTTATATCAGTTTGGAATATACCTGAAAAGAGAAGAAAACTGTCCATAGAAAGGGACAGAATTAGGAATTTTTCTTAAAAAAAAACTCAAAAAACAAAACAAACTGTCTAAACTTAATCTTTTTTATTGTTGTCTTGAACATCTTATTCTGTTAGACGTAAAACTCTTTCCAAGAAAGCTGGTTCTGAAACAAGAAAAAACAGTGATGCAAACCTATTCTAGTTTTGGTAATCCTGGCAGTGTTTTCTTTTCCCTTTAGAAAAGGGATGGGGATTGCTGACATGCCCACAGTCAGGCTTGACTGGGAATATGGGATGCCTTAGAGAAGTGAGTAGGAGGGAGAGGATCCCTCCCTGGAAATGCACCAGGAAAAGGGGTAGGTGGGTTGCACCAGGAGCAATCCTGGGGTGCTGCAACATTGGAGAGAGCTCAGCACTGCCCTGGATGGGAGGGGATGCTCCAAGCTCTGGATTTGGGAAAGGCTTGGTGGTGGCTGGGACAAGCTGCGGGGATTCTGCCTTTCCCTGCAGACAGGGCTGGATGAAAATAGTGTGCATGGCAGGGGAACAGGGTAGGAGTTTTAAGCAATATGAGTAGTTCTTGCTTATCAGATGAGTTTTATGATCTCACACGTAATGGGGAGACTTTGCTTTGCTTTGGGTTTGTGTTGAGCTGAGTGATGCAGAGTTCTTTGCCGGAGCAGGGCTCTGTTCCTGATGGATTTTTGTTTTTTTCCCCATCCAGACTAGGTAGCCATGTCAGCCAAAGCCATCTCTGAGCAGACGGGGAAGGAGTTTTTGTACAAGTACATCTGCACGTCCTCTGCCATCCAGAACCGCTTCAAGTATGCCCGGGTCACCCCCGCCACGGACTGGGCACGGCTCACCCAGGACCACCCGTGGCTCCTGAGCGAGGTAAGGGCAGGGACAGCAGGATTTGCCTTCCTGGAGCACCTGAGCACTGCTCCAGACCCTTCCTGAAGGACTGGTTGCTGCTGCTGCTCTGTCACAGTCACTCCCACCCTGATGAAGAAACAAGCCTTGCTTCAAGGCTCAGGATCACTTCGTGGGGGGCTGATTTAAGACTGTGAAATACAGGAGCAGAGATAGCTGTGCACCAGTTGCTCATAACTGCACAGAAGTTTGAAGGTTGATTCAGACAGAAGTGTCAGTTCCTATTCTCAAAGCCTTGCTCGCTGAAATAATCTTTGTTCTCCTCTCTCCATGTCTGGCTTTAATGTAAAGTTAGGACACTGCTTAGTTTTCTCGAATCCAAGCAAGATGTCAGGGAAAACTTCCTTCTTAAAATTTTTTCAGTGCAAAATCATTTATCTCTGTGTCTCATATCCTCATACTTTCTCTAGAGGAAAACATACCCAGAGCTCTTTTTTATTAGCTGTCCAAGATGGCTCTTTTCCAGTGGTTAATTATATTAAGTCATTGGCTGGAGAACATGAATGTCTCATAGTCCTTGACTGACTGCCTGATAGAAGCCCTGCACTAATTAAATGTTCCTTACTCAAGTGCCTGAATGAACTGCAGGAAGAGATCAGCAAGCCTTGCAGGAAGCCAGAAGGGAGCAAGGTTGCTTTTGGGCCTTTAAGGCAGGTTCTGTAAGGCTGGAAAGGGCTTCAGGGTCCAGCAGCAGGACCATGCTCAGTGTCCTGTACTGCAGCACGGTGTGTTCTGACTCATAAGTTGCTGAAGTTCCAGGATGTATCCGTGGTACAGGAGAATGACACTCAGTTCTAGTTCGGTTATTTAAAAAGATATTTGCAAGCTAGAGATGTGTGGAACCCAGGAGCAGCTATCCATGGGTTTATTATAAAGAGCCATGACCAGTTACTGAAATGTGCATGACCCTGACCCTAGCCAGTCTCATAAGCAAAGTGTAGTGACAGCAGGAGCTGTTTGGGGTTTTTTTTTGTGAGCAACTGTCTGTGTCTGTCATGACTTTTATTGGGCTTTTTCATCAAAAGAAGAACAAGCTGTCACCTCAGCCTCTGATGTCTGCTTACAGCTGAGTGGAATAAGGCAGCTTTTCTCAAAGTACAGCGTAAGAAAACACAAATTTGCAGGCATATTGTATCAGGAGCTTGATTTGCTAAGATTAAAGGAATTTTGCAAGGATGGGTGCTGTGCATTACTGATTTAAGTTTTCACTGTCTGCAGAGAACCGCTTGACCAAAGTCAATGTCTAATCCTTCTCCCTTGAAATCTCTTGCCCAACCTCTGCAGCGTTTAGTGGTGAAGCCAGATCAGCTCATTAAGAGACGTGGGAAGCTTGGCCTGGTTGGGATTAACCTCACTCTGGATCAGGTGAAGGTTTGGCTCAAGCAGCGCCTGGGCCAGGAAACCACGGTGAGTGCTTCACTTTTGTTCCCAGGACAGGCCAAAAGCTGGAAAATCACCAGTCCTCCACTGCAGCCAGCCCCTGAGTTTTTGGCTGATGATTGAGTATTACTTCAGACCCTTGTTTTAACTTGGTGCTGGCATGTAATATTTATTTTTCTGGGAATGACAGAGCAGTGCTAATGATAATGAAGTGCCTGCCATCCCTGCTGCTGTGTGTTGGGAGCTGATGGACTTGTGCTGCCTCAAGGAATTTATGCCTTTGGCCCTGCTGGGATTGATTTGGCTCTGGCTCTGAGCCGGTGCAGCAAGAATTGGGAAATAGCAGGAGCAGCACTGTGAGTGCTCCCTGTTGGGAAAAGCCTGGGTTTGGAAATTACTCCTTTAGCACAACACAACAACCATATCAAAAGCAAGGACTGGGCCACAGACTTGGGACTGCTGGTGTTCTCAAAAGCAGGGAGTCTCCCCCTGCCTCTTGAGCCTGGAAACGTGGGTTTGGATAACAGGAAATTGCCTACACAGAGCAGTTCCTGGACCCATAAAAAGAGACTAAAGGATCCTCTTGCTCTTCTGTGCTCCCTGATACCATTTCAGGGTGAGCACTACTCTGAGGCCTCTATTTCTGCCACTAGCTCAGGAATTCCTCACTTCTGAATTTTCTACTACTTACTCCAAGAGCCTCTCAAGCTCTTGTGTCTCACTGTGCTGAGCAGGGCCCAGTGACAGTGCTGTCTCTGGGACAGGAGAGGAGAGCAGCTGTCCTGGTGTAATTCTGATACCCCTCTGTCCTGGTAGGAATGGGAAAGGTGACCGACTCCTGTAACCAGATATCCTGAGGTAACAGTGCTGGATGCTGTGCTGGAGAGGGAGGAGTGGTTCCCCAGGAGGCATGGTGGAGAGGGAGCAATTTTAGAGCAGTGCTGATTAATTCTCAAAGCTGGACAAGTGGTTATGGGTTTTTATCTTGTTTTCTGTCCCCAGATTGCTAATGCAAAGGGAATCCTAAAGAACTTTCTGATTGAACCCTTCGTCCCTCACAAGCAGGTTAGTACACCATTAAAGTAGACTTTTAAATCCCTTTGGATTTGCATGTTTAACTGGATTGTTACAGTGCAGAAAGCAGAAGTTTGGGAGTGTGCTGTTGAGCTGACAGTGTTGCTGCATACCCTAAGCAAAACCATCTTCTGTATTTCAATACTGGAATTTTAAGTAGAAAATAAATTCATACACCTTCATATTCCTTAGAATTCTTTAATCAGTTTGCCAATGCAGTGAAAACTCCTAAGAGAGTACATCATAGGCCACTACAAAACAAATAAAACTGCAATTCTAACAGAAGAAGGGCCTGCCAGATACTTCTGCACACAGATCTTTGTTAATTATGGTCTTTGCTGAGATAATATCACTATTTCCTTTTCCTGTTCCAAATAAAAATAACTGGCAAGTCTTTCTCAGTGTCAGGGCTGCTCCAGCATGGCTGTTCTTTGAGAAGCTTGACTTTGGGCTCAGCTGCCCCAGTCCCAGCACTGGCACAAAGCCTCTCCTCTCTGGGAGTCACTGATAAATGCTTGTCCCTGCTCTGTGGCACAGGAGGAAGAGTTTTATGTGTGCATATATGCTGCCCGTGAGGGAGACTATGTGCTCTTCCACCACGAAGGGGGTGTGGATGTGGGAGATGTGGATGCCAAAGCTCAGAAGCTGCTCGTGGCCGTGGATGAGAAGCTCAGTGAGTCGGATGTGAAGAAGCATCTCCTGCAGCATGCACCAGCTGACAAGAAGGAGTAAGTAGAGATGCAAATCTGGGTAGGACCAGCCATGCAAAAGCTGCTCTCTTTTATCTCAGTGCCACATCCCTCTATTTTCTGAACTCTGAAGATCACTCTCTTGCCCTTCTTGCTGCTCTCCAGAATATGCCATGCATCCTGAATCCAAACTCTCTGACCTTAGCTGTCTGTAAAACCCACAAATAAGGTTTCCTAGTGCTGAGCCTTTACTTGGCAGCAGCGCTTGTCAGCCTGCTTAGGTCTCAATGTGAGACTGGAGACCTGTGCTGAATTCTGATCCTTTGTGCCAGCATAGAAGTTTATTTTGTTTAGTGAACTGGTGATGAAATGTGGCTCTGACTGCTAATTCAGAACTTCCCTTTCCCTTGCTCTGGCCTGATCTCCAAAGTTACTCTCCTGTTCTTCCTTCTGCCAGTCTTATCTCTAGATATCAAGGCTTCTGCATCTCCCTCAATTAGATGCCCATACCTAGTTAGCCTAACATGAGTCATGATTTTTCCAAACATAGCTTAATCCTTGCAGTGCAGTACTGAAGGGTGAAGGAGCCTGTCACTCCACCAGTTCACTGCAGCCTCCTCCCCATCACAGCTAACGAAGCTCAGATCTGACAAAGATGGATATCAGCAGGGAGGCAACGATGTGCTTCTGTTTGTAGGGAGATAAATCAGACTGCACAGCTCTGACAGTTGTGAGCAACTGTGTCCTCAGCAGAGTTTGGTGGAGGGTAATTAAGATGAGTCATCAAGGTCTTCCTTCCCTTGAGTCATCCATCACCCAGCCTCCATCCAGAGAAGATGAATGAGAATGAAAGAAATTGATGCCAAGTAAATTTGCAGATTGCTGCTAATACCAATGAACAGAGCAAACTGTACTTAGATTTGGCTGCTTTAATTAACTTGTGTTAATTTTTTTTCCTTTTTTTTTTCCAGTGTCTTGGCCAGCTTCATCTGTGGCCTGTTCAACCTTTATGAAGATCTGTATTTTACGTACCTCGAGATCAATCCATTAGGTAATGAATATTTTTGGAAGCAGAACTTTCTGTTCTGAATTACTGAAATGTGTTCTTGATCCTTCCTTTGGTTCTGTAATTCACAACAGCACCAGGTGCCATGTGCAGAAGTACAGAAGTGGCAGTGATCTATCTGTCTTTGAGCTGTTCATTCAGTGAATTAAAAATGAGGAAATGAAAAATTCCCTTCAAGGGAATGTTAAGGCAGAACTGAAGAATGTAAAAATTGCACCGTAGAACAGAATAACCCCTGAGACAGAGCCTGGACCATGGCCACAGTTACTGGTTAATTCCTGAGAGAACTTACTGGGGCTGGTCAATACTGCCCAGTGCCAGGGGAAACAGCAGCCACCCAGCTTTTGCAGTGATGCCTGTGTGGTACCAGCTGTTGGAGTAAATCTGTAACATGTCTCTGTACAACCCAGAGCTAATTGTGATGTTTTTCACTGCAGTGGTGACTAAGGATGGTGTTTACATCCTTGATCTGGCTGCGAAGATTGATGCGACGGCTGACTACATCTGCAAAGTGAAGTGGGGGGATGTGGAGTTCCCCCCTCCTTTTGGCAGGGAAGCTTACCCTGAGGCAAGTGACAGCTGGAATTTCTTCACTGTGTCCTGAATTTATCATTGCTTGTATGCTCATGGCATTGTTGTTTCCAGTGGTTTTGTTGCTGTGTCTCATCCCCTTGACAGTGCTGTCCGTGATACCCTGTGCATGGGTAGCTGTAAGTCCTAGGGCTGCTCAGAATCACACTCTGAACTGCAGTTGCTTCCCAGCTGTTTGGTCATTTCTTTAATTCAGAATTGGCTTTTTTTTTAATGGAGGCTGACAATTAACTTCTGTCAGCTGTGTGCCAGAGCTCTGTGCCTGTGCAGAGCTTCCTTTTGTGGTTCCTGCCCACATTGCTCTCCTCAGCATCACTGTTTTTCTCTTGGAGCAGTGGTTACTGGGAGCCCCGTGGGAGCTGAGCGTTCCCTCAGTGTTTCAGTGACAGTTCTGAGAGCAGAGCAGCAGCTGTGTGTAAATGCTGCATCCAAGTGTGAATCCAGAGAAAAATCACCATTTCTGGAACTTATAAGTAAGAAGATGTTAATATACCTATTTTTCCAAAAAGTGAGGACAATTTACAATGAGCACTTTACTGTAAAGTTAGCAGTGCCTGTTCCCTCTCCAAATTCCCTGGGTCTGTACTGCTGGATGCACAAGCACTGCTCCAGACACAGGTCTCAGCAGCTTCAGAGGCTGTTGGAAGCAGACCTCTCTCCTTAATTATTCTGTTACTTATTTCAGGGATCTGTTCTTCTCTCTCCAAAAAGATTTCTGTCCTGACTTTTTCATTTTAATGATTATAATTATGCTTCAGTTGGAAGGTTTTTGTACTGTGGCCAGGAAATCCATTTAGCCATTCCTTTCCATGTCGCTTGCTGGATGCCAACACTCAACTCAGTTTGCTCTTAAAAGGATTAGTTCAGTTTTTGTCTCTGAATCATCCCTCTCCAAGTCCCTGGGAAGGTTGTTATGGCAGAATCTTTGCTGGGAATGTTAATGAGCTCTGATGAAGTGCTGCTCAGCAGCCTGGCACACTGGGCAGCAGGGGCACCACGTTGAGCCAAATCACAGCTCTCAGTAATTAAGTTCCTGGCTCCAGCACAGTCAGAGTGGTCACCATGGGTGAGATGATTTTCACATTTCCTCAGGTCTCAGTCTCGGACAAGGCCAGAACAGAGTTTACAGTTCTGTTCAGATTTTGTGCCTGTTGTGTGATGAAGGGATGGAGCTGGGCCTCTGTCTCTGGCAAATGCTGAGTTTGTTGCTCTGCTGTCCCTGAGGTGTGATTGCTCCGTGTGTCCAAATGCACCGAGCACTATGAACCCTGGGGATGGAAAGGGCAGGTGCAGGAGGAAGCTGAGGTTGTGCTGCTCTCTCTGCAGGAAGCCTACATTGCTGACCTGGATGCCAAGAGTGGGGCCAGCCTGAAGCTCACGATCCTGAACCCCAAAGGCAGGATCTGGACCATGGTGGCTGGTGGTGGTGCTTCAGTGGTGTACAGGTAATGGAAGCGAGGTTTCCAGAGGGGGAGGATTTCAAGGGCTGGGAGGACATAATTTCTGCAGCCTCTGGAAGGTAGACTCTCCTAAAGCCATTTTTCCTGTACTGTGACTGGGATGGCTTCAGAATGAAGATGCTGTGCAGATTTTTCACCAGACTATGGGACATACTATGGAAGTTAATTTTGGAAGGGTTAGGGTTAGATACAGTTTCTTACAGAGATACAGTTCCTTTCTGACTTACAAAGAAGCAAGCTGGCTGAAGGCTGTTGAGGGTAATATGATTGTTGTAGTGGTCACTGAGTTTGCATCTGAGGAGCATGACAAGATTAATCATGGCTGGCTCCAAGATGAGAGCAGCTTTGTATACAGCAGACAGCACTGTCCCTCTGTTAGGAGCCCCACTTCCCCTGGGATTTGGAATACTTTAGGAACTTTATTGTGAATTAAATTATAACTAATTTCATAAGTAACTGCTTTTTGTGTTGTTAGTGACACCATTTGTGACCTGGGGGGTGTGAATGAACTGGCAAACTACGGGGAGTACTCAGGAGCCCCGAGCGAGCAGCAGACCTATGACTATGCTAAAACCATCCTCTCCCTCATGACCCGAGAGAAGCACCCAGAAGGTAAGGGAGATGCTGCAATCCCAAAGCTGTGAACCTGTCTGGCAGAAAAACGTGGCTAAATCTGGGCTGTTACTATGCTTAGCCTTCCCTAGCAGAGCTGTCAACGTAGTTCTGCTTTCTGAATGAACCAGGACTGGATTTCTGTCAACTCTTGCTTCTGAGAGAGGACTTGTGGTTTTTCATGGGGCCTGAGAGATTCTTATCAGACATTCTTGATTGGTACAAAGCTCTTATCTTCCAGGCTCTGCTAAACTCAACTGCTTTAGGGTTTTTTTTCTACTAAATACAGCTGGTTACTCTGCAACTTTGTTTGACTTAACTGCTTTCTGATCTAGAATAATCTGCTCTTGAGATGGTTGTACTAACCTGTGTTTCTTTCCTCAGGGAAGATCCTGATTATTGGAGGCAGCATTGCAAACTTCACCAATGTAGCAGCCACCTTTAAAGTAAGTGACCAGTCTCAAACATCAGCAAATACGCAGTTGTCAGCCCCCAGCCCTTCTTCCCAATTCCATGTTTGGCTGAGGTTTTTAGTCCATCTCTTCCAGGAATTTTAGATTATGGCATTTAGATGATGGGTAAATGTCTTGCTGCCTGGGTCACCTGTCCTGTGTGTTTCTTTTAGGGCATTGTGAGAGCAATTAAGGACTACCAAGGCCCTCTGAAGGAGCATGAGGTGAGGATCTTCGTACGAAGAGGAGGCCCGAACTACCAGGAAGGCTTACGTGTCATGGGAGAAGTTGGTGAGGACCAAGCTTGTCTGTACACCACCGCACTTGTCCTTCAGTTTTATTCTTGCATCTTGTTTCTTCCACTTGCTTTCTGCTGAGCTTTCTCAAGGTGAAACGCTTCACTTTGGTAGAGCTTTCCCCTGAGGATGCTGACTGCTGTTGTGTAATTCCACAGGGAAGACCACAGGGATCCCCATCCATGTGTTTGGCACGGAGACCCACATGACTGCCATCGTGGGCATGGCGCTGGGCCACCGGCCCATCCCCAACCAGCCGCCCGCCGCCGCCCACACCGCCAACTTCCTCCTCAACGCCAGCGGCAGCCCCTCGGTGAGCTCCCTCCCCCCCTCAAAGGGGACAGGCTGGGGAGCCTCATGAGGACAGCTGCCTGTCCAAACAGGCTGGAAAGGCATTTGGGCCACTAGTGGATTTGTAGGAAGCTTTAGGAAAGCAAACATGGCTCCACTGGTGCAGTTTATCAGGAGAGGCCGCCCCAATGCCCATGTCAGTTGTGCACAAAATGTGGCCTCTCAAAGCTGAACCTACTGGCTCATTCCGTTTTTTGTTGCTTGACTGAAATGGTCCTATCTGAAAACTTATTTTCTTTATAGTAAACCAGTGTGGCTAAAGCAAGGCCACCTCCTCCTCTGTGCTCCAGACCACACCTGGAGCAGTGTCCCTCACTGACTTGGCTTCTGAATCTTTCAGACTCCAGCACCAAGCAGAACTGCCTCCTTCTCTGAGTCCAAACCAGATGGCATTGCTCCAGCTAAGAAGGCAAAACCAACAGCACCTCTTGGTAAGTCCAGCCCTGGGAGTGCTGCTGGCAGTGCTCTGCTCTTCCCAAAGGCAGGAAGGGCATGAGACAAATGCTTTTTTTTTCTGGATGTAAAGGGAAGAAGTTTTGTGGTGCCTGCTTATCTTTGTCTTGAGTGTAGTTAAGAGATTTAGCAGCTCACTTGTGCCATGAGCTCATACACACAGCAAGTCAGAATTGCCCTGATCTGGAATGTTCAGGAACAGCACAACGAGAGGAAGTACAGTGAGAGGGCTCCAGACTGCTTGTTTTTAAACAAGAGCAAATCCAAAGCCCTGAGTGCTGTGGAGAGGAGAAGAGGACTGCTGCAGCACCTGCCTGGGTGCCTGGCCAGTGGGCTGGCAGCACTCAGCTCTGTCATACCATTGCATGAATGATTCTCTCTTTAACAGATTCAATCCCAGCCTCGAGACCTGGTTCAGGTAGGACTTGTGTGACCTGCTGAATGTGCCTGGCCTCGCTGGCAACTGACTTTAGTTCTTAGTTTTGTTGCTGTTTTTTCTCTCCAAAAGTTTGCTGTGTTGTCTGGTCCCTTCCTCCTGCCCAGCATATTTAGCTGTCACCATGTGAACTTCTTATCTGTTTTTTCAAGTGCAGATCACATTTGCCTCTGCACAAATCCTTCCTCTTTCTGGGGGAGAGACAGCCAGGTCTCAAATTTTGTTTTTTCTGCCTTCCCCCACACAGCCATTGCAGAGAAGAACAGCCTGAGGCACATAGTGATAAGCTCTGTTCTCTTTGCTTTCCAAAAGGAGGAGTGACCAATAACTGGTATCTTGTTTCAAAGGAAAACAAGGTAGTGCAGGGGCCCTGGTTATCAGGTTTGGAAAGTACAGAAAAGTCACAAATTAACTACATGTTGCCTTAACAGTCCAGCAAACTATTAAAGCTTGTGCTCAGTGAAGTTATTGTATAGGGACTTCAAAACTCTCTTGGGCTCTATGCTATGTGAAAATAAACTGCTGAACTGGAGGCAAAGTAGAGCTTCAAGTCACCTCCCTTATCATGAGGGGGGACATTCTTGGGATTGAAGGGGAATTCTTGGATTGTTGCTTGCTTGCTCTCAGACAAACATCATTCCTCTCTGGGTTTGAATTTTGGTGTTCCTGGGAACACTCATGGTACTCCCTTGCAGGCATCTGTGAAATAAACATAATTTTCAGTTCCCTGATAACAAGTCATGTTGCAGTGAATCTGAGCTGTGAGTGAATGTTTAGGGCTGGAGAGCAAGAACTGATTATTCATTGAAGCCAGAGGCACAGTGTCCTGTTTAATCCCTAATGCTGTTTACCTTTGATCCAAATCCAGGAAGAACTCAGCAGTAGCCCAAATTGGCATCAGTAGATGGATCAGCTTTGAGTTTTTACGAGTTTTCAAATTAATTCTGCTTGGAGTCAGGAGAGACTCAATGTTGTCTTGTGACAAGTGGTGTAAATAGACTTTAAACCAACAGTCCATCCTCACTGGCTGAACTGTTGCTTTTCCTGTGACTCTGTCCCCTGAAGCCAAGTTTTGGGCCATATATAAATTCTTGGAGCCATCAAATTTCTGTTGGATTCTGAGCATTAAAAAAATCAGAGAAAAGAAAACCCAAGTATGTTGAGCTCCTTTATTTATTTTGTCCTCCCCATTTCCTACCTTTTTTTTTTTTTTTTTNAGCAAAGAATTAGAGCACAGCTAGCAGTAGACCTCACATTTTCCCTTGTTTATGGCAAGTTTTTTCCTTTTTTTTTTTTTTTTTTTTATTTTTTATTTTTTTTGTTTTTTTTTTTTTTTTTTTTTTTTTTTTTTTTGGTTTTTTTTTCTTCTTTTTTTTTTTTTTTTAATGTTTCCTATCATTCTATTCTGGTGCCCTGACCAGCCTCCCATGGTTTGCCCAGACTGAGAGCTACATGCAAATAAATACATGAAATTCAAAATTCTCTTCAGCTTTGCATAAGAAAACTGGTAGAAATATGAAAGGCCTAGGAGAGAAGAGGTAGAAACAGTTTTTACTTCTCTCCTATACCAGCTCCCTCCTGTGATTCACTTGCCCATGTAGTGAACCCCAAAACCTGGCTGTTGTGTTCAGAATCCAGGGAAGGGGTTGCTGATTCATCTACAGTTTCTTCCTTAATTTGCACAGTGTGGCTACTCCCTCTTGCAAACTGCAGTTTATCTCCTGGGTTCAGTTTGGAGGTGGGGGAATACACTCATCCAGGAGCCTTTCAGCAGGCATTTGGCAAAGCTGCAGTTTGTGTCTGGCTCAGTTGTACAGTTTGAAGATGGTTTGGTGGTTTTTTTCCTCTCTTTCTGAGCAGGTAAAGCCACAACGCTGTTCAGCCGCCACACCAAGGCAATCGTGTGGGGGATGCAGACCCGGGCTGTCCAAGGAATGCTGGACTTTGATTACATTTGCTCCCGGGATGAACCCTCCGTGGCTGCCATGGTTTATCCGTTCACGTAAGTAGCACGCAACTGCATCGCTCTTCCATTTCCCTCCAACTCTTCTGTGACCTTCCTCCTCTCTGTCTCTGTGGTTCTTTAGTGGGGCTCTGCCCTGGTCTCTATCCCTGCTGGAACACCTTCTCCTCTGCTCCCTTCCACCCCTGGGTTGGCCTTGTAGGCTGCTTTCTTCAACCATTGATTTCGGGCTGCGCTGTTGAAACAGCTTAATGTTCACCACAGAACTGAAGCTCCACTTCATGTGCTTTTAAAAGATGTCCAGGTTCTGTTCTTCACTGAGTGAGTAAGGCAGGTGTGATTACCTGGGCTTTCTTTCCAGCCCTCTGGCTCAGCAAAGGCAGGCAGGCTTTGTAAGGCTTCTTCCATTCACCTGCTGTTGGCTCTGTGCTTATCTAAGCCTGATTTGTGCCTGCTGCAGCAGAAATTATCCCTCCAAATATTATCCAGGATCATAGCAGTTCTGCTGACAAACCAAAGCAGGTATGTAGCCAAACAAAACTATAAAAAAATAAAATCTTGTTCATATTCTTTCCAATAGCAGCAGGGATTTCTTAGCAAGCAAGGAAGCCTGTGGATCCTTTAGTGGGATAGAGAGTTTCCTTGTGGTATTTACCCTCTTTTACTCATGCCTACAGGGATGAGAAGGGCTATTGGGTGTGCATGAGCTGTTTTACTGTACCCCCTCAGTGTGGGGGTCTCCCTGTGGAAAAGGGCACGAGGGAGAAGGGAAACAGCAGCTGTTGCTTCCAGTACAGTGAGGTGGGAGCCCAGAGCCAGGCAGGAGCTTTAGTTCATTCCTGTGGCATTTACAGATATCCTGGAGAGCTGATGTCTAATCAACCTCTGTCCTGCAGAGAATTTCTCCTCTTGACAATTAAGTCCTTGCACTGTTATTCTGCAGCTCTGATGGTAATTGCAGCTCTGTAAATAAACTCTCAGCAAGTGCAAACCTCGGGGTACTGAGTGCAGGCACACCCATGTCTGTAGGCGAGTGGCAGCCTCTGGCAGTGCTGCACTTGATTAAGGAGGAAAAAGCAATAGGGATTGAAGTTTAAGGCTACCTGTAATTATCTGTTTCTTCTTGACCTTTTGGAGGGAGCCAGGCTGGTAAAACCTGGAACGTTCTGTCACGAAGGTACTGGTATGGGAGCACAGCCAGTATCCACACACTTAAATGACTGCCCAGTCAGACTTCACTGCAATTCCAGTCAGAGCATCTACTGTGTATGAAATACTGACAGTGAAACCTTCCCAGGTGCTTCCCCTCCAGTGCCTGTGGGATGGACAGAATCCCACTGTAGCAGGATTGGGGAGCTGACTGGCCCTCCCATTGTAGTCCTGTTCACTACAGATACTGGTTTCCTGTTTTCTCAGTCCAGTGTTAGCACCAGCTCAGTGACACAGCTTTGCACACCTCTCATTCATTACTCTTTCTGTACCTCATTCTGTCTTCCAGCTTGGAGTAGAGTTAAGGCTCTGGTAACTTCACAGTGGGAGAGCTTATTCACCTTGCTGGATGCCTCTGTCCCCATTAGCCTGTCTCCTTCCATACGCTGCTCTGTCCTATTCTCTGAAGAACCTTCTGCTGTCATATGGTCCCTCCCCAGACATGCTCACGTGCTCGTGAGTGTCTCAGTCAGTCTCGGGGGCTGAGATTGGGGTTTGTAAACTGCTCTGTCTGCATGCACTGTGTCTCTTTGCCTTTCCAGCAGCCTTCAGGTCAGGGCTTTTCCATCTTCTCTCCCACAGTGGAGACCACAGGCAGAAGTTCTATTGGGGCCACAAAGAAATCCTGATCCCAGTCTACAAGAACATGTCAGATGCCATGAGGAAGCACCCAGAGGTGGATGTTCTCATCAACTTCGCGTCCCTGCGCTCTGCCTATGACAGCACTGTTGAAACCATGAATTATCCTCAGGTGAGTGCAGGACCCAGAAGAAGTCCAAATGAAGAAGGAAGACCCTGTCAGCAGAGTACTGGTATTTTTTAAACTGTGATGGCATTAGCAAATTGTCTTGGTTTTCTGACTTAGCAGATAGCCCCCAATTCTAACCCCTTATAGGATGTAAGGAGGATGCTGGGGGCCCCTGGCATATCCTAATGCTGGACTTGCAATTTAAGAGGAACTTGTTGGTTCTTGGTTAGCAGTAACTACTTCAGGCTGACTATAATACAGTGCTGCTCTGATGTGCAAGGGGGAGAAAATTCCCTGACCAGAGCATTGAGCCTGTTGTGAAGATCATGGCAGCCTGCAGATTGATGCATTGGGCCTTCCTGGATGAGAGTGCACAGAGTGACCTCCCATGGCTCTGACAAGAGGCAGCTCTGTGGGGTGCCAATGGTTTTCTTTCTCTCACGGCAGATCCGCACCATTGCCATTATTGCTGAGGGCATTCCGGAAGCCCTGACACGCAAACTGATCAAGACAGCTGATAAAAAGGGAGTCACCATCATTGGGCCTGCAACTGTAAGTACTGATGGCCACTTTCTCCTGTCTTTCTTAACCTTCAGATCAGCTTTCTCTCATGGATGAAGTGTATCCTACAATCTACTTTTTGTCTTTAGTCACAGGAAGTGCATGCTAATCTCTCATCTTAAAGTCATTGCCATCCTTCCTTCTCTATACAAATGCTAGCAAGGCTGCCTTACACAAATGCTCCTCAGTTTCATGATTTTAAAGGGCCTTACACCTTTCTCTTATTCTTTTATAGGTTGGTGGGATCAAGCCAGGTTGCTTTAAAATAGGCAACACAGGAGGCATGCTGGATAACATCTTGGCATCGAAGCTGTACCGCCCTGGCAGCGTGGCCTACGTGTCCCGCTCTGGAGGGATGTCCAACGAGCTCAACAACATCATCTCCCGGACCACTGATGGGGTCTACGAGGGGGTGGCCATAGGGGGAGACAGGTACGAGTTGGCACCTTCAGTAAGCAGAGGAATTGTTGGTAATTTGGAGAAGGAAGAGCAGGTTAGGTGTTAATTTTTGTTTCAGAAAAGTATTTGAAATAAATTTCTGACATTTCCCCTGATTGTACACAGATATCCTGGTTCAACTTTTATGGATCATGTCTTGCGTTATCAGGATACTCCAGGAGTGAAGATGATTGTAGTACTGGGGGAGGTGAGTAAGACCACTTAACTGGCTGAGAAATAGCTGTGTGTGGTTTTTGTTTTGAGACCTGGTTGCAAGAATGCTAAATAGCAGCTTCTACTGCTCTTGAATGTTCAAAATTTTATTTATTGCTGCTTTTGTTAAAAGAAATTGAATATATTCTACAGGCAAGCATAGTCTTACCTATTTAAAATAAATAAAAGGAAAAGAAAAATCAGGAGGTTTTGTTCTGGCACTTCAGACATTATTTTGTGAAAAAGGAGAAAAATTCCTAGCAATACTTCTTTGTATGTCTTGGAGCTGGTTTTATCAAAAGTGCAGCTCAGAACCATCTCTCTCCCTGCAGATTGGAGGCACAGAAGAGTACAAGATCTGCAGGGGTGTTAAAGAAGGCCGGATCACCAAGCCAGTGGTGTGCTGGTGCATTGGTACTTGTGCCACCATGTTCTCCTCAGAGGTATGTGCAAAAATTGGGGCACATGCATGAAATAGGAATATATCCACAACAGGAAGAAAAACACAACTTCACTCATTGTACCTAAACCTTCCAGAACAGGCAGTAGTAACTTTAATGTACAAAAGTTTATAAATACAAATTATAAAGATATCTTGTGCTTCTATAGTTCTGTCACAGGAAATTTCCAGGGGATTCTGTGAAGGGAGCCCAAAGATGCCAGGGAAAGCAGTAAATTCCAGTAGCTGCCTGTTTCTGGAGTAGGGATGGCAAAGATCTGTGTTCAGCAGCTCTGAACTGGGGCAGTTTAGGGAGGCAGAAAGTGAATGAGCCTGGAGGGATTCCAGCTCAGAACATCCCTGTGATTGCCCTGTTGGCTCTGACTGCAACCAGGAGTTTTGGTAGCCCAGAGGAGACAGATGTGTTCCCAGTCAGGGCTCTGTTCTGTTGCACTCTCTGCAGGTAACAGTCTGCATTCCTTAGTGCTCTCTTTTCCTGTTTGTAGGTGCAGTTTGGCCATGCAGGAGCTTGTGCCAACCAGGCCTCTGAAACCGCTGTAGCAAAGAACCAAGCCTTAAAGGAAGCTGGAGTGTTTGTTCCCCGGAGTTTTGATGAGCTGGGAGAGGTCATTCAGTAAGTCACACTCACAGGGCACCTTCAGCAGCAGACAAAAGCTGTTGGGACACTGATTCTGGCCTGATAGGAAATATATTTCTGCTTAAGGAAAGCAGATTCTACTTACTGTGGGGTTTTAAGGTCTAGGTTAGATCGCCTCTCTTGGGTCTCTTAGAAGGACCAAAGTTACTGAATGGATTCTCTCCCTAGGTCTGTGTACCAGGATCTTGTGGCCAAAAGAGTGATTGAACCAGCTGAAGAAGTGCCTCCTCCAACTGTGCCAATGGATTACTCCTGGGCAAGGGTGAGCTGTGCTGGTTTAGCTGCATTTGGGTTTCTTGGAATCAGGCAGGGCATAGGCTGTGATTCTGGATGCCGTGTTGGGGTTATACCTTGTGCTTTGTAGTGTTACTTGTGAGCTCTGCTGGTTCTGGGCTGTGGAAGCTGCTCTGAGGGCAAGCCTGAGGCGTTGCTGTTTGCCCACTCTGCCTTGTGCTGCCCTCCTCTGCTGGTGTGGGGTGTTTAACATCCTCTTTGCTCTGCAATTCCAGGAGTTGGGGCTGATTCGCAAACCAGCTTCCTTCATGACCAGCATCTGTGATGAGCGAGGACAGGAGCTGATCTATGCTGGGATGCCCATCACCGAGGTCTTCAAAGAGGAGATGGGAATTGGAGGGGTTCTAGGCCTGCTCTGGTTTCAGAGGAGGTGAGGCAGTTCTTGTGAAAGCTTGCAGATTCTTTGGAGTTTTTCTTGTTTTTTTAATAGACTTTTAAGCCAAAAAAACCCCAAAAAACCTTGTGATTCCTTTGTGAAGGTAAATTCACTGGAATGCCATTTCTGTGTTTCCTCCATGACACTATTTTGGGTTGCATACAGTGTGTTTAAATCTCAGATTGAAGTTTTCCATGAGTCTTGTGGTGCATTGAGGAAGCTTCTGTATTCTAGGCCTGATTCACAGTCTGACTACTTGTGTCACCTCATCTCTGGAGAGGCTGGGGACTTGACAAACATTTGCATTTGTGTTCTGTTCCTGACTGATGTGTCTGTGCCCAGGTTACCCAGGTACGCCTGCCAGTTCATTGAGATGTGCCTGATGGTGACAGCAGACCACGGGCCAGCCGTGTCCGGAGCCCACAACACCATTGTCTGTGCCAGAGCTGGCAAAGATCTGGTTTCAAGCCTCACTTCAGGACTTCTTACTATTGTGAGTACCTGATATTCAGGAGGTTTAGCTTTGTTACTCATTACTCTTCTAAGTTTTATTACTGCTATATTTTGGATTGGTTGCAGAGTTACAGACTGGTGGTGTCTGTCCACTCACACAACAATTCCAACATTAACAGTTTGGTGCTCCATGTTTCAAATCTGGTCCTTTTTTCCAGTAAGTGAGACCAGTTTGTCTCCTTTGAGTCTAGAAATATTTTGTAGCAGCCAAATTGCTGTCAATGTTAACTCTGGTTGCCTGAACTCTAATAAGAGTTACTAAAACAGACACTGGATTGCATTTCCCCCCACGTTTTCTCTAGCAGACATGCTCCAAATTTGCATTTGTGTGAGAGATAAGCAGATGCTTTCTCTTAGGTGCCTGCCCAACTCTAATGTCATGAATGCCAGAAATCAGGAGGGTGGATGGGGGAGATAATCTTGAGTTTGCATCTTAATTGTGGAGTGCTTTGATGTAATTGCCTTTGTTTTGCACCCAGGGTGACCGGTTTGGGGGAGCACTTGATGCTGCAGCCAAAATGTTCAGCAAAGCTTTTGACAGTGGGATTATCCCCATGGAATTTGTGAATAAGATGAAGAAAGAAGGGAAGCTGATCATGGGCATTGGACACCGAGTAAAATCGGTAAGAAAACTGCGTTAGGACAAAGAGGAGGGATTTTTAGGAATGGGTGAGGGAGAACAAAAACAAAGGAAAGAAAATTGGCAAGTTGGAGAGGCAGCTATTGACCAAATTCTCCCAAATCTCTAAAGAGTATCAGTAAGAGGCAACATCACTGACTGTAATGTGCTCTGAACTTGCAGATAAACAACCCTGACATGAGAGTTCAGATTCTCAAGGACTATGTGAAGCAGCACTTCCCAGCCACTCCTCTGCTGGACTACGCGCTTGAAGTAGAAAAAATCACAACTTCCAAGGTGAATGGCGCCAGCACTGAACTGTTCTGGGCACTGCTTCTCATGGGAGGGAAAGTGACTGGGCCTTGGCTGTATTTTCAGTGCAGTGCTTCATAAATTTTTGCTGGGGATTGTGTCTGGGGTGGAATTGAAGCCAAGCACAGCTGCAGTTTGGGAAGGCTGAAGGCATTTGGCTACCAGGAAAATGCTGAACAAGCCAGAACGTTGTCTGTGTGGCCACTGTCCACAGTGGCACTGCTGGGTGTAAATCCCAGGCTGTTGGCACATGTGCTGGCCCATGGCAGGGAACCTCCATGGGGCTGACCCAAGGGACCCCTTGTTCTGGGTTGATTTTCCAGCATTCCCATTAAGCGTAGTTCTTGCTCGGGCTGCTGCGCTGGGGTGTCCCCAGCTACAGGCAGCCCTCAAATCACCAGTGGAAGGTGCCAGGTGAATGCCATTTGCACTGTTGACATCTTTATTGGGGTGTGTTTTATTTCCTGCAGAAACCAAACCTTATCCTGAACGTAGACGGCTTTATTGGAGTGGCCTTTGTTGATGTGCTCAGGAATTGTGGCTCTTTCACACGGTGAGTGAGGGAAAGCTTTCTTGCACTGCCAGCTCCTGAGGGGCAGAATTTCATGACATTGGAAAGGAAGCATAGCCTGGCCTGGCTTTTGGGGGCAGAAAACTGTCAGGGGAATTTGTATGGCTTCTGGCACTAGAGCAGGTGAGACTGCTTCCTTAAATAGATGATTACCAGGAGCCATTTATTTTTCTTTTGTTTTGCAGGGAAGAAGCAGATGAATATATTGATATAGGAGCTCTCAATGGCATCTTTGTACTGGGCAGGAGTATGGGATTCATTGGTGAGTTTGCCACGTTCTCCCTGCCCCTTCCCTCCTCCTGGGGCTGCCCTGCCTCAGGAGCACCAGACAAACCTGAAACCCAGGGGGATTCAGTGCACCCCAGAAATCCAACTCAAGGCAAAGACTAAGAGGATGGATGGGAATTCTGTGACACAAATCACTCTCCTTTCAGGACACTACCTGGACCAGAAGAGATTGAAGCAGGGTCTGTACCGTCACCCCTGGGATGACATATCCTATGTCCTACCAGAGCACATGACCATGTGAGAAGCTGGTGTTGCCTTGGAGTGCACCAGGACAGAACCTGTCCAGGGGACAGCCACAGTGGGACTGTGATGTATAAAGATGATTATTGGGACAGAGATGTCGAGCTGCCTGGTCAAACTGTGCAAAGCGACTGTTTTATAAGGATAGAAACTTACTCTAATAAAACCAAAACTTGTGCTATTCCCTCTGTTAACCTGCTGTATTTAATACTCTCTCTCACACTTTTATTTTTCCTATTCTCATTTCATTTTGTTTCCAGAAGTGATTTAGGGTTTGGGGGGGGAGAATTTGGCTCATAGGTATGCCTTACTGATCTCTGGTAACAACCTCTACCTTTCCCATGAAATGGCCCATAAGCCATCACTTTGGATTTTTTTTTTTTGTTGTCTGTTTTTTTCAATTTGTTTACCATGTTCTTATCCTTGGTCTGACTGTACCTGAATCCTGGGACCACTGCTAAAGTATAACCAATGTTATTCAAGCTGGTGTAGTAATTTAAAGTGTAAAGTTGTAACATACTGCTGTGAAAACTGTGAAATCCCTGTATTCCAGTGTCTGTATTTATGCAAACAACCTCTCCTTTCCTCTGACTGCTGCTCTTGTGCACTGTCACTCATGTAATCTGCAGCTGCAAAAATATCTCAGTAATAATTTCAGTGTCCTCCTTGTCTGTGTGCTGCAACCAAACGCAAATAAATACACATTACTAATTTATTCTTTTTCCATGTGTGACTTCTATGAGTTGTCCCTAAGCAGCGTCTAGGGCGATGTGTGACAAAATTGTCATTTAACAAAATAACCTTCAAAGCAATTACTCCTCAGGGTGTGTTTCGGGTGATTTAAAAGGGGAGAAAATAAAAATCAAACTGCATATATACTAGACTTGCCTGCTTCAGGTCAAAAAGGTAAAATTTAGTAGAGAATAAACAGGAGGACACAAACTAGCCATGATTGATACAGCATTACACAAGAGTTGGGGAACTGCATTGTGTGTATAGCAAACATGAAATAACCACTCTACAGTTCTAATTAAAAACCCAATGTACCGTGGAGCGGGAGAATCCCTGATTGCTCAGGTGCAGCGTGGGAGGGCAGGGGGAGAAGAAAAAACGAATGAGGATGGGACGGTGGCTCCGGGCCGGGCCGGCCGCGCTCCCCATGGCGCACGAGGCACCGGAAGCACCGGGACCCCTCGGGACGGGAGCGGGGCGGACGCGGGGCCCGGCGGCTCCGGCCTGAGGGGACGGGGACAGGGGCAAGCCCCGCGGGCTCCGGGCTGAGGGGCGCGGTGTCCTGGGAGGAGCCGGGCGCTCCCGCGCTGAGCGGATGTGGACGCACGGCGGTGCCGAGTTGAGGGGAGGCGGGCTCTCGTGGGGTGCCGGCCCGAGCGGCCGCGGGGTCCCGGCGGGGCGCGGGCGCTGCGCTGGCCGCGGCTCCCCTCACGCCGCCGCCATCGCCCTGCAGCGGCGCCGGCTCTCCGCCAGGGGGCGGCGCCGCGCCCCGCCCGCCATGTCGGACAAGATGGCGGCGGCCGCGGCCTGTCCGCAGCCGCAGCCCGGCCCCAGCCCCGGCCCCGGCCCCGGGCCCGGGCCCGGTCCTGGCCCGCCGGCGGCCGAGGCGGATCGCGGGGCCCCGCGGGGCAGCGCGGCGGACGGGGAGGCTGAGGCGGAGGAGTTTGGGTGCCCGGCGCACTGCTCCGACCTGGCCTGGCGGCAGAACGAGCAGCGCCGCCACGGCCTGTACTGCGACATCACGCTGGCTTTCGGCGGCACGGGCATCGCCCGCGAGTACCGGGCGCACCGGTCCGTGCTGGCCGCCGCCACCGAATACTTCACGCCGCTGCTCTCGGGGGGGTTCGCGGAGTCGCGCTCGGGTCGCGTGGAGCTGCAGAAGTGGAGCTCGGAGGGCGGCCCCGACCCCGACACGGTGGAGGCCGTTATCGGTTTCATGTACACCGGCACCATCCGCGTGAGCCCCGGCAACGTCCATGAGGTGCTGGAGATGGCCGACAGGTAAGTGCGGCCCCGGCGGGGGATGGCGGGGACCGGGTCACAGCACCAGAGGATCACAGACTGGTTTGGGACCTTAGTAGTTAATCCCTTTCCACCCCCTGCCGTGGGCAGGGACACCTTCCACTATCCCAGGTTGCTCCAAGCTCCATCCGAGCTGGCCTGGAACACCTCCAGGGATGTATAACTTCCTTATTTGTCCTGCAGGTTTCTGCTCACCCGGTTGAAAGACTTCTGTGGAGAGTTTCTTAAGAAGAAACTGAACCTCTCCAACTGTGTAGCGGTTCACAGCTTGGCCCACATGTATTCCCTAAATCAGCTGGCCCTCAAAGCACAGGATATGATCAGGAGAAACTTCCACAAAGTCATCCAAGATGAGGAGTTCTACACTTTGCCATTTCACCTTGTCCGGGACTGGCTCTCAGACTCGGAGATCACGGTGGACTCTGAAGAAATCCTCTTTGAGACTGTTTTGAAGTGGGTTCAGAAAAGTCCTGAGGAAAGAGAGAGGTACTTTGAAGATCTCTTTAAGCTGCTAAGATTGTCTCAGATGAAACCCACATACCTGACTCGCCACGTCAAATCCGAGCGGCTGGTGTCGAGCAACGAGGCCTGTGTGAAGTTGGTGTCCGAGGCCGTGGAGAGCCATGCCCTGCGCTCTGAGATCCTGCAGTCCGGGAACCTGCAGCATTCCGCCTGTCCCGCCGCGCTGCTGCCGCGCTTCGGCCAGAACATGGACGTCATCATGGTCATCGGTGGCGTGTCCGAGGGCGGCGACTACCTCAGCGAGTGCGTGGGCTACTTCATCGACGAGGACAGGTGGGTCAACCTGCCTCACATCCACAACCACCTGGACGGGCATGCCGTGGCCGTGACAGAGTCCTACGTGTATGTGGCTGGCTCCATGGAACCGGGGTTTGCCAAGACCGTGGAAAGGTACAATCCAAACAGAAATATCTGGGAGCAGGTTTCAAACCTAATCACCAGGAAGCATTCCTTTGGCCTTACTGAAGTGAAAGGCAACTTGTACAGTATTGGAGGGCACGGCAATTTCAGTCCAGGCTTTAAAGATGTGGCCATTTATAATCCTGAGCAGGACAAATGGCTGAACCTGGAGTCGGCACCAAAGATCCTGCGGGATGTCAAAGCTGTCTCCGTGGAGGACCGGTATGTGTATGTGGCCGCCCGCACCCCGGTTGACAGTGACAGCGAGGACGGGCTGAGGGCTGTTATTATCAGATATGATGCTGAAACCAGGCAGTGGCAGGACGTGGAGTCCCTGCCCCTCATCGACAACTACTGCTCTTTCCAGATGTCTGTTGCCAGCACCAACTTCTACCACACGGCATCGTGCTGCCCCAAGAGTTACCCCATAGACAACGAGGAGGCCAAGGGAAAGATCTCCAGCAGGGCCTCAGATGAAATCCTGGAATCCTTGCCCCCCGAGGTCCTGAGCATTGAAGGAGCAGCTATTTGTTACTACAAAGATGACGTGTTTATCATTGGGGGGTGGAAGAACAGCGATGACATTGACAAGCAGTACAGGAAGGAGGCCTATCGCTACTGCGCCGAGCGGAAGCGCTGGATGCTCCTGCCCCCAATGCCACAGCCCCGCTGCAGAGCCACTGCTTGCCATGTGAGAATCCCCTTCAGGTGCCTGCAGGGAACACAGAGGTACCCCATGCCACAGAATCTCATGTGGCAAAAAGATAGAATTAGGCAAATGCAGGAAAGGCAGATGCAGGAGATACACCGATACTCCCTGAGCTTACGGAGGATGCCGCGCTCCCAGATCGAGTGCTAGGCTCTGCAGTGTCACTCCTGATGAGCCTAGGAAATAACCCCATTGTTAGGCTTGATGTGTCTTTATAAGACACGAGGGTGTGGATTTGATCTGATGCATAAAACCAGCATCTGTTGTGTACTGAAAATTCAGAAGCTCAGAAGTTGAAGGTGGGTGGGAATTGAGACACTCCATGAATCCAACAGTATTCCTTAATGATACCCAGGGAAAAGCTGTAGCCTGTATCGGGCTGTGAAATGTCTCTGGGAGCATTAAGCCTGTTACTTCTTTCCTCAGATCTTTGGTTCCAAGGATTTCTGTAGAGTCAGTCTCTAACAGTTCTACTTGGAAAATCAAAGATCTCTCTCTTAATAATTTAGTGGTTACATTTGTGTGTGCTTGAAAGCACCTGTTTCATTTGCACTTATCTCTTGACATTCCTTTGATTCTCTCTCCTCAGTGACTAAACTTCACAGGATTGGTGTTGGTGTACTTGGCTTTCCCAAGCTGGAGGCAAGTGCAATAGTTCTGTATGAAACAAAAGCACAATCTTTCTTTATGAAATTACTTCAGGATGTTTCTATGTGTATTAAATATTTTGTATTTTTGTGTTGTAGAGAGGCTGCAGAGTTTGTTTATAAATGGATGATTGGTTGGACACAAGACACTTGCTAAAAGAGAGCTTGAGGCAGTGGATTTTTTTTCAGGTGTATTTGCAGGTTTGAGTCTGACTCAAACTTAAGAACTTGGGTCAAGAGCCTGAATGACGGAGTGACACCCGGCAGTGAGCCACCCACCCACACTGGTTGTTCAGTTCTGTCAGAGTGCATCAGTGAGAGTGGGGTTATTTCATGGGAGTATAGTGAAACCTGAGCTACTCGTAGGTCTTTTCTCAAATGTTGCACGTTTTAATTCTAGTGAAAAGTGATGAAAGAGCCCCTGCTGTTCCCAGCCTCTCTCTGACAATCAGAAGTCTTTGCCCTCCTGTGCTGTCCCAGGGGACTCCCAGCAGCTGTGCTGCAGCTTTGTACCAAGCTGGCACGTGTGCTCCTGCAGGGGGGAGAGCTGGGCTTTCAGAGTCTCCAACTATCTGAATTTTCCCACTTGCTGCGGGGGTGAGATTTAAGCTCATTTAAACACCTTTTGGCATTTTGAGGTGGCTGTACATGCAAGTGCCCTGGTTGGCTCTGCATGCTTCCTGCTGCACTCCCAGGGAACAGAATGTGGGATAGTCTCTTTGGAGTATCCCCCCATCTCTGTCCCACTGAACACTCCTTCTCCCCAGTCCAAGAAGCTCCAGGACCCTTTCATTTACCAACACTTTTCAGTGCATACTTCCTACCTCCTTTTCTCCCCATCCTTCCCTTCTTTTGAATGTTCCAGGTTTTTCCATGCAGTCTTAACTCAGGATCTTAGGGAAGGGAATGGGAGGAGTAACCTGGGTATTACAAAATTTGTGTAGACAAAACCTTTCTGGAAAATCTGTTACTGTTCTTGGTTCGTTGATGATTTGCTGATGGTTTTGATGTCAGTGACTTCTTTACAAAAAACTTTTAACCAGTCTGGGGTTTGTTTTGGTCTTAATTGTTTTGCTCCCTGAGCTGCTCATTCTCCTTTTCCAGTTCAACAGGCAGCCCAGATCATATCTGAAACTTGGGGTAAGTCTTTCCACCACTCAGTGTGTAAAGGTTTCTCTGATGTGTATGTCCCTTAATGCTCCACTTTGTGGTTCACTTTGTGGGCCACTTTGATATCAACAACTTGTCTGTTTGTGAGAGAGTCTCCAGCCTTAGTTAAAAAAACTACCAAACTTGAAATTCTGAACAGTTTATCTTGGTTTACTCCTCTGTGGTAACCATGTTTTATTTTCTTTGCCTGTTTGGTTGTTGGGGCAGGTGAAGTCTGTGCTACTGGCTTCATGC